ACAGAATAAATGGTTTCATTTGGTTTCAAAAATCAGCAATATTTCAAAAGGGACATTAATAAACAGTAATGAACACTGAGAGCAGGAGAACCACCTACCACAGAATCATTAGGGTAGAAAAAGACCTCCAAAATCATTGTGTCCAAACTTTGACCAGACAGCACCACATAACTAAACCAGAGCACCAAGTGCCACATCCAGAGGTTTCTTACCTTCCAGGGAAGTGGCTCCACCACATTCCTGGGCAGCCCCTTCTGATGCCTGATCACACTTTCAGTGAAGAAAATCTCCCTCTTACCCAACCTGAACCTCCCCTGGTGCAGCTGAAGGTTACTTTGTAGTCAAAGACTGCAATCACAAACTTTGAATAGATGCAACAGAACATGAAAACCACGTGACAGAATTCTGAATTTGACAGGTAACTTACCTAGTGTTTTACAGGTGGATTTGCTTGGCGAACCTATATTTTCTACGCAATGTTCTGAATTCTCATTGTCCAGTGTTACACGCTGCACAATTTTTAACAGTGTTTTGCCATCAGAATCTTTGGACAGATAAGCAGTAGGACATAGAACAGAGTAACTTTGCTTTCCTGCTGTTTCATTGCCCTTGAACAATGGGGGAAAATTGCCCAGAAACCTACCTTCTAATAATAGGTGTGGTAGTCACTGAGAGGAAAAATGGAAGAACAGAAACATTTCCAGTTCTGTAAATCAGCATGAGAGAAGCAGATGGAACCATGTCCTCACTCTGATAAAACTATTATCTCCATGGTCAGGGCATTTCAGGACAGCTGCTGGAACATCTGATGAGCTGTTTAGAAGGAAAATTAGAGGCACCTTGTATTGCTGTGATGGCCCTGAGAACTTAGGCAGATTTAGGAGCATTTATTTTGCAGGAATTTGTCCATAAGGGATAAAAGGAAAAATGCTTATCTTATCCCATGGTCAGAAAACGTCCAGGATAAAAGCTCAAATAATGATGGATATTTTGTTCATTGAATTCTCTGTAAACTACTCTGAAATAATGGACATGAGAGATGACACACATCCTTGTAAAGCATCAGTTTGAGAAATCAAATTTGTAACTCATGTTTCCAGTTAGAAAGATCAAAACCCTTGTTAGACTGGGGAAAGGGGAAGAGAAAAGCTTGAAAAAATCTTTCAAAAATCAAAATTAAAAAACCTTTATAGGAGATAATTCTGTAACTATGCTTGGTCAAGGAGAAATAATTCTGAATAATTTTGAACACCCCCTTGGAGAATTCAGCCACCAAGATATTTTCTTCTTTTCCTGCCCAAACCACAGTTTTTGTTTAGGTGCCACTGAAGTGAGAAAGAACTGGGGTGGGTAGACCCATTCAGTACCTAAACCTTGTACATCAGGTCAGGAATGCAAGAGTCTGAAATGAAATGAATTCATTTCGCTCCCTCTGTTTCTCTTTGCATTTCAAAACTAATACTTGTAATGGATGCTAACTAGAAATAGTTATGTCGTCAAAAAATTGACCCAAAGGCAAAGGTTTGACCCAAACTCCAAATCACTTCCAAAAGAACATTAAAACCTCCATGAACAAGAATAGAATCCACTTTAAAAGGCTCATGGAATTCAGCATGATTTTTCTGGTCTTTTCTGCCAGATTTATAAAGAAGGGAAGAGAGGCCCAGAGCATGCAGATTTTCTAGATGCAAACCAGAAGCTACTTGGATTTCTGTGCTGTAAGGTCATTCTCCAACAGTGCTCTCAAAGACTAATTCATTAATTAATTAAGATAGCTGAATCTTTTTAAGAGTGGAAACATGTCAAAGATTTTCAAAGGCTTATAAGTAAGAAAAATTACTCAGCCTGAAAAAGTTAATGGGATTTCTCAGTCCATGAGCACAAAAAACGTGTTCTTGTGGAGGAAATCAGAGGTGGGGTGCTCCTGCCCTTGGGTATCACTGAGTGACTCCACCTCAGGAAGCTTTATCTGGGCTGCTTTGCCCACTTCCGACTGCTGCTTCCCCTGCAGCCTCTCATCCTTTCCCTGCTGTTTTATGTGGAACTCAGCAGCTTTGGCACTTTTTGTGTTTAACTCTCCCTGCAGGGACCAGCAGAAAGTGAAGTAAACACTGTGCTCTTGTTTGCAATGTATACAAAAGCCAGGGAAAGGCTCCAGTCCTGGCATCCTTCAGAGAGGCTGCTCCGTGCCAAGCTGGGAGCACAAAGACACTCCAGCAAATATGGCTTTGGTAGGGCCTGAAATTTCCCTCATTTTGAGAGAGTGTCTAGCTATTAGAGATCTGCTAAGGAGCATCTCTCCAGCTCCACCCCAGCAATTACAGTGTTTGCAGTTTGCCAGCTGATTTTAACATGAAAAAAATGGCCTGAAGGAGGGCTCTGGCAGCTGAATGCAAACTGGGCAGGCCTTAGCCTACACCTAAGTACCCAGGGATAGGAGAAGCCAGGAGGCTGAAGGCGGTGTTCACTTTACTCCTCCCACTTCACATTTTGTACCACATTGATTTTGACTGGATCGACGCACTTTTATCAGCTGGTCAGAGCCCAGCGCTCCACAGACAAGTTTCAACCAACCTCCACATGATATTGAAAGATGTTTGCTTTTATAACAGTACTGCCACTCCTCACTTAGCTTTGTGACACGGCATGAACACAAATTAACACTATAAACCTAAGCATCAGCACAGAGAGGTCACAGGTGTGTGGTTTTCTTTTTGGCTTTTTTTTTGGATCATGCACTCTTAAAAGTGGCCTCGAGGATAAAGATGTATTTTGAATAGGAAAAGTCTGGGTGTGTTATGGAATGCACTTAAACATGGGAACACACATTTTTCATCCTATACTGCCAGTATATTTAATGCTTTTTGCTGTTTGTGTTATACCACTGAAATCCTGGGAAAATGAAGCAATTTCTGAAGGCAGTGCATTTTTCAGAAACAATAACATCATTGTTTTAACGATGCATGCACAAATCATTCCCCTACACACTCCATGTTTCAACCTGAAACTCAACATATGCCAATCTCTGCTGCTGTCCGACTTTTGAATTATGCTTCTGTGTCCACTGTTCAAAGAGGCTTTTATTTATGTCTGCTGTGCTATCTCAGACTACACACATAACGAGAGAAAATATCTCCCAGGTTTTGAGTCTTCCAAAAAGAACTTTATTCTTGAGAAACTTACTGGGTAGTTCTTACTAAATCCTACTGAGATCTAATAGTAGACTAGCATTCTCTATTAATTCATGTGCCCATTCAGACCTGCAAGACAACTGTAAATCAAAACAAGTTGGCGACCTGGGGATTCAGCTCTAGGTCCAAGCTCAGTGGCAAAAACTCCTGAACTTACTCCAAGTGAAATCTTCCGGGCACACCAAACGTTAAGAAACCATATTGCTTTTCCACTGTGTTCTGCTCTGACCATGTAGTGGAAAACTTGCCATGCATTGACAAATGTGAAAAACAACAATACTTTTAAAAAAAAATGCAGCACTGATGCTATGTGCAAAAAACTGAATATATCGGGCCAAAGATGACAAAAAACAAAGGTATTTAGATTGAGAACTTTTAATTTAGGAACAACCACAGGCATTGCTGTAAGGAACCGGGCTTACCTTAACTCTAACTTAAATGATCCAGGTTTGGAAAGTTATCAGAGCACTTGTGTGTTAAAAATGAAAAAGCCTTCACACAGTACATTACCCTTAAAACAAGATATCGAAAAACAAAAGAAATTTATCTGAAAAGGAAGAGAGGAAAAGAGAAGGGAAAAACTTCTTTTGTTTAGAGCAGAGTACACTCGTGCCTGCCATTAAAGAGCTTAACTTTGACCCAACTGTAAACACCACTGCATTTGCTTTTCTAATGTCGCTAGTCCCAATCTTATATTCTACTTGCCGGCCACGGCGCCTTCCCAGCAAGAGGAGAAGAGCTCAGCACAGACTATTTGTCTAAACTTAAGAAAAAAGACCTTCACCTCTCAGACTCTGACCACTTGGGAAAAAACCTACTAAATTTTGAACGGAGGATTTGTAAAGACAAAACCACACATACAGGCAGGAGAAGGATTGTCTTCTGCATAAATGAAATAGGAACTTGAGCCCATAAAATAAAAGAACTCAACAAGACAAAACAATATATGCTGAAACTACTCAGATTTAATCATGTGAAAGAACAACCTTCTGTACAGATGCAGATTAAAAGAAATAAAGTCTAACAAATTTTCTGCACACAACAAGCTTTTTCCCAAAGCTTCCTCAATGCATTTCCAAACTGGACTGCGGTGCTTCAAACGTAAGTTCAGAAGCTGGAAATCCTGTAAATGTCCTGGCGCCAGTGCTACACAATCTCTGTTGCTCATCCATATGTTACCCCAAACCCAGAAATGGCGACCAGAAAGCCAACTGCAACACCAGAATGTTAAAGGCAAAAAGGACATTTATTTTGCACAGTTATTCCGTTTATTTTTCCTAGAGTCTTGGATTCGTAGACAAGATCCAAGGCTGCCCAAACAGCACACCAAAAGCCAAAAAGCTCAATTCCGGCAAAAGTTTAAGCGAAGGCTCTAAACATTGCCAGCATTACACACAAAGCCAACAAGCAAAAAATCAACCAGAAGTAACGCAGAGACACGTACCTTAGATTCCCACAAATTCTTCTGCAAACATCGACGACAAAAGGGAATAATGTCCACACCGCCTGCCGAAAGGGAACCACCACCCAACAGCCCCACAGCCAGATCCTCGTGCCACCACCCACGCAGCCCCCCAGCCGCCCAAAAGCCTCCAACTTCAGCTGGACTCACCGTCGCGACGTCCGGCGCAGTGCCCCGCCGTGCTGGGAGCCGGGCCCTCTGGGCAAATGAAGCTGGGCACGCGAGGCAGCGGCCAAGAGGCTGCACCCCTGCTTACAGAGGGCTCAAGCCGCTGCCTGGACTAAAAAGTGCCCGGGACTCCAGAGCACTGGCCCCCACTTACAGGGCCGCTCTGGTCCCCAAGGCCTATGGAGGCTCCTTCTCTCTCCAGCTGCGGGGCGCTCCCCACTAACGGGGAGGGCGCCCCACACAGGCTGCCAGCTGAAGGGAGCACAAAGGCTCCCAGACCCGCAGCCTGCTTACAGGCCGGTCCACACCCAGGGAGCCGCAGAGCTCGGCCTTCCCCAAGGCAACAGGAACCTGACTTTAGAGTCAGGCAGTCCAGCTCACGGCCTAAAGCCGAGGGGCCGCCAGCCCAGCCCCGAGGACAGGGAGGGCACACGCCCGGCCCCGTGACTCCTGGCCCCACGCCTCTGAAAGGCCGGGGCCAGGCACACCCGCCTGATTACAGGGGGTCCCTCCAACCGCCCGCCGAGGCCAGGGGACGCACAGAACCCCACTTACGGGGCCGCCCCCCGCTGCCCGGCACCCCCCAGCAAGCATACGGAGCACAGGCTCCGGCCTGCGCCCCACTTAGGGACAGGCCGGAGCCCGGCCGCAGCGCAGCACGGCAACACGGCCGTCTGCAGAGCCCCGGGAGCCTCCTGTAGGAGGCCGCCAGCCATGTGGCGCCAGCCCGAAGCAGGGCCAAAGGCGGGAGCGTGCCCTGCGGCATAGCACTTCTGCAAGCCGCCCCCTGGCAAGGGCCCGGGAGCGCTCGTTCCTGTTGCCTGGCTAAAGGAGCCCCCCCAGCCCTGCTTACAGGGACCTGGGTGGGGCTGCTCCTGGGGACAAAGGGTGCCGCCAAGGTCCTGACACGGGCCCCGAGTACAGGGCCCGCACGCTGGCAGCTCACCAGCACCACCGGCAGCATAGGCGCACGCCCTGGCCCTGGCTACAGGCGGGTCATGCTGCCCACGCTGCCGCTAAGCGGCTTCGCGCCGTCCTCAGAAAGCAGGGGCAAGGCCGGAGGCTTTCTCCACCCGTGCATTTTGGGCACCCGCCTGTGGCTGCACAGAGCTCCTCTTTCCCTCCTGGGAAGTCTAAGCTACTCTACTACTCTGTTTCTAAAGGACAAACACACTTCCTCACTCACACCAACTAAGGGGAAGACAGGGGAGGGGGAGACAGGGGAGGGGGAGACAGTCCCAGAAGAGGGAGCAAGTTCTGTGCAGCCAGCCTAATCTAGGGAGCCATTGCTACCGCTGAGCGGGAGAGGAAAGCGTCAGACCTGCCCGTGCACTGAGAGGAGGCCACAGGGGCCGCGACGAGCGCTGAAGCGCTTCAGGACTGGCACCAGGGCCACGGGCTGTGACACGCCCCGAGTACAGGGGGTCACGCTGGCCAGGGGCCAGCAGCAGGCAGAAAGCTGCCGGGGCTGGGGAAAAGCCCTGCCCTGCTTACAGGGTAGCTGGGCTGGGGGCCGGGAGAGCTCCGTTTCTCTCCTGCGGTGCGGAGACAGGGGCTCTCACCCTCCTTTACAGGGTTGCCCCTCTCTCCAGGCAGCCAAAGGAGCACAAGGGCAAAAGGCCCAACCGCAGCAAAGACCAGCCCTGCACACAGGGAGGTCGCCCAGCGCCAATACAGCCGCGGCACCCTCAAAGTGCCCTGGCCTGGAAAAGCCCTTTGCCCAGAGGGCCCCTCGCGTCCCTCTTCGGCTCCTGCCGCTCGCTCTTGCCTCGCCGTTCTGCTCTTGAAGACGCTGTCGCTCTTGCCTCGTCGTCCCACGGCTTCTGCCAATGCACGGCGACACACTCAGGCCTGAGAAGCTCCAGGCCCTGTGCCCGCAGGGAACCGCCACCCAACAGCCCCACAGGGACATCCCCAACCAGCCACCCGCAGATCCTTTCGGCCGCCCAAAACCCTCACACATCAGCTCCAAGATGCTGCTCTTACCTTGCTGCTCCGCTCCTGGGCTCAAAGCCGCCGCTCCTGCAGCTCGCTCTTGCCTCGCCGTTCCACTCTTGAGCACGAAGACGCCGCCCTCCTGCGGCTCGCTCTTGCCTCGCCGTTCCACTCTTGAGCACGAAGACGCCGCTCCTGCGGCTCGTTCTTGCCTCGCCGTTCCACTCTTGAGCACGAAGACGCCGCTCCTGCGGCTCGTTCTTGCCTCGCCGTTCCACTCTTGAGCACGAAGACGCCGCTCCTGCGGCTCGCTCTTGCCTCGCTGTCCCACGGCTTCTACAAACATCGACGAGGACACAGTCAGGCCTGAGGAGCTCCAGCTGCCCAAGGGAACCGCCACCCAACAGCCCCACAGCCAGATCCTCGTGCCACCACCCACGCAGCCCCCCAGCCGCCCAAAAGCCTCCAACTTCAGCTGGACTCACCGTCGCGACGTCCGGCGCAGTCCCCCGCCGTGCTGGGAGCCGGGCCCTCTGGGCAAATGAAGCTGGGCACGCGAGGCAGCGGCCAAGAGGCTGCACCCCTGCTTACAGAGGGCTCAAGCCGCTGCCTGGACTAAAAAGTGCCCGGGACTCCAGAGCACTGGCCCCCACTTACAGGGCCGCTCTGGTCCCCAAGGCCTATGGAGGCTCCTTCTCTCTCCAGCTGCGGGGCGCTCCCCACTAACGGGGAGGGCGCCCCACACAGGCTGCCAGCTGAAGGGAGCACAAAGGCTCCCAGACCCGCAGCCTGCTTACAGGCCGGTCCACACCCAGGGAGCCGCAGAGCTCGGCCTTCCCCAAGGCAACAGGAACCTGACTTTAGAGTCAGGCAGTCCAGCTCACGGCCTAAAGCCGAGGGGCCGCCAGCCCAGCCCCGAGGACAGGGAGGGCACACGCCCGGCCCCGTGACTCCTGGCCCCACGCCTCTGAAAGGCCGGGGCCAGGCACACCCGCCTGATTACAGGGGGTCCCTCCAACCGCCCGCCGAGGCCAGGGGACGCACAGAACCCCACTTACGGGGCCGCCCCCCGCTGCCCGGCACCCCCCAGCAAGCATACGGAGGACAGGCTCCGGCCTGCGCCCCACTTAGGGACAGGCCGGAGCCCGGCCGCAGCGCAGCACGGCAACACGGCCGTCTGCAGAGCCCCGGGAGCCTCCTGTAGGAGGCCGCCAGCCATGTGGCGCCAGCCCGAAGCAGGGCCAAAGGCGGGAGCGTGCCCTGCGGCACAGCACTTCTGCAAGCCGCCCCCTGGCAAGGGCCCGGGAGCGCTCGTTCCTGTTGCCTGGCTAAAGGAGCCTCCCCAGCCCTGCTTACAGGGACCTGGGTGGGGCTGCTCCTGGGGACAAAGGGTGCCGCCAAGGTCCTGACACGGGCCCCGAGTACAGGGCCCGCACGCTGGCAGCTCACCAGCACCACCGGCAGCATAGGCGCACGCCCTGGCCCTGGCTACAGGCGGGTCATGCTGCCCACGCTGCCGCTAAGCGGCTTCGCGCCGTCCTCAGAAAGCAGGGGCAAGGCCGGAGGCTTTCTCCACCCGTGCATTTTGGGCACCCGCCTGTGGCTGCACAGAGCTCCTCTTTCCCTCCTGGGAAGTCTAAGCTACTCTACTACTCTGTTTCTAAAGGACAAACACACTTCCTCACTCACACCAACTAAGGGGAAGACAGGGGAGGGGGAGACAGGGGAGGGGGAGACAGTCCCAGAAGAGGGAGCAAGTTCTGTGCAGCCAGCCTAATCTAGGGAGCCATTGCTACTGCTGAGCGGGAGAGCAAAGCGTCAGACCTGCCCGTGCACTGAGAGGAGGCCACAGGGGCCTCGACGAGCGCTGAAGCGCTTCAGGACTGGCACCAGGGCCACGGGCTGTGACACGCCCCGAGTACAGGGGGTCACGCTGGCCAGGGGCCAGCAGCAGGCAGAAAGCTGCCGGGGCTGGGGAAAAGCCCTGCCCTGCTTACAGGGTAGCTGGGCTGGGGGCCGGGAGAGCTCCGTTTCTCTCCTGCGGTGCGGAGACAGGGGCTCTCACCCTCCTTTACAGGGTTGCCCCTCTCTCCAGGCAGCCAAAGGAGCACAAGGGCAAAAGGCCCAACCGCAGCAAAGACCAGCCCTGCACACAGGGAGGTCGCCCAGCGCCAATACAGCCGCGGCACCCTCAAAGTGCCCTGGCCTGGAAAAGCCCTTTGCCCAGAGGGCCCCTCGCGTCCCTCTTCGGCTCCTGCCGCTCGCTCTTGCCTCGCCGTTCTGCTCTTGAAGACGCTGTCGCTCTTGCCTCGTCGTCCCACGGCTTCTGCCAATGCACGGCGACACACTCAGGCCTGAGAAGCTCCAGGCCCTGTGCCCGCAGGGAACCGCCACCCAACAGCCCCACAGGGACATCCCCAACCAGCCACCCGCAGATCCTTTCGGCCGCCCAAAACCCTCACACATCAGCTCCAAGATGCTGCTCTTACCTTGCTGCTCCGCTCCTGGGCTCAAAGCCGCCGCTCCTGCAGCTCGCTCTTGCCTCGCCGTTCCACTCTTGAGCACGAAGACGCCGCCCTCCTGCGGCTCGCTCTTGCCTCGCCGTTCCACTCTTGAGCACGAAGACGCCGCTCCTGCGGCTCGTTCTTGCCTCGCCGTTCCACTCTTGAGCACGAAGACGCCGCTCCTGCGGCTCGTTCTTGCCTCGCCGTTCCACTCTTGAGCACGAAGACGCCGCTCCTGCGGCTCGCTCTTGCCTCGCTGTCCCACGGCTTCTACAAACATCGACGAGGACACAGTCAGGCCTGAGGAGCTCCAGCTGCCCAAGGGAACCGCCACCCAACAGCCCCACAGCCAGATCCTCGTGCCACCACCCACGCAGCCCCCCAGCCGCCCAAAAGCCTCCAACTTCAGCTGGACTCACCGTCGCGACGTCCGGCGCAGTCCCCCGCCGTGCTGGGAGCCGGGCCCTCTGGGCAAATGAAGCTGGGCACGTGAGGCAGCGGCCAAGAGGCTGCACCCCTGCTTACAGAGGGCTCAAGCCGCTGCCTGGACTAAAAAGTGCCCGGGACTCCAGAGCACTGGCCCCCACTTACAGGGCCGCTCTGGTCCCCAAGGCCTATGGAGGCTCCTTCTCTCTCCAGCTGCGGGGCGCTCCCCACTAACGGGGAGGGCGCCCCACACAGGCTGCCAGCTGAAGGGAGCACAAAGGCTCCCAGACCCGCAGCCTGCTTACAGGCCGGTCCACACCCAGGGAGCCGCAGAGCTCGGCCTTCCCCAAGGCAACAGGAACCTGACTTTAGAGTCAGGCAGTCCAGCTCACGGCCTAAAGCCGAGGGGCCGCCAGCCCAGCCCCGAGGACAGGGAGGGCACACGCCCGGCCCCGTGACTCCTGGCCCCACGCCTCTGAAAGGCCGGGGCCAGGCACACCCGCCTGATTACAGGGGGTCCCTCCAACCGCCCGCCGAGGCCAGGGGACGCACAGAACCCCACTTACGGGGCCGCCCCCCGCTGCCCGGCACCCCCCAGCAAGCATACGGAGGACAGGCTCCGGCCTGCGCCCCACTTAGGGACAGGCCGGAGCCCGGCCGCAGCGCAGCACGGCAACACGGCCGTCTGCAGAGCCCCGGGAGCCTCCTGTAGGAGGCCGCCAGCCATGTGGCGCCAGCCCGAAGCAGGGCCAAAGGCGGGAGCGTGCCCTGCGGCACAGCACTTCTGCAAGCCGCCCCCTGGCAAGGGCCCGGGAGCGCTCGTTCCTGTTGCCTGGCTAAAGGAGCCTCCCCAGCCCTGCTTACAGGGACCTGGGTGGGGCTGCTCCTGGGGACAAAGGGTGCCGCCAAGGTCCTGACACGGGCCCCGAGTACAGGGCCCGCACGCTGGCAGCTCACCAGCACCACCGGCAGCATAGGCGCACGCCCTGGCCCTGGCTACAGGCGGGTCATGCTGCCCACGCTGCCGCTAAGCGGCTTCGCGCCGTCCTCAGAAAGCAGGGGCAAGGCCGGAGGCTTTCTCCACCCGTGCATTTTGGGCACCCGCCTGTGGCTGCACAGAGCTCCTCTTTCCCTCCTGGGAAGTCTAAGCTACTCTACTACTCTGTTTCTAAAGGACAAACACACTTCCTCACTCACACCAACTAAGGGGAAGACAGGGGAGGGGGAGACAGGGGAGGGGGAGACAGTCCCAGAAGAGGGAGCAAGTTCTGTGCAGCCAGCCTAATCTAGGGAGCCATTGCTACTGCTGAGCGGGAGAGCAAAGCGTCAGACCTGCCCGTGCACTGAGAGGAGGCCACAGGGGCCTCGACGAGCGCTGAAGCGCTTCAGGACTGGCACCAGGGCCACGGGCTGTGACACGCCCCGAGTACAGGGGGTCACGCTGGCCAGGGGCCAGCAGCAGGCAGAAAGCTGCCGGGGCTGGGGAAAAGCCCTGCCCTGCTTACAGGGTAGCTGGGCTGGGGGCCGGGAGAGCTCCGTTTCTCTCCTGCGGTGCGGAGACAGGGGCTCTCACCCTCCTTTACAGGGTTGCCCCTCTCTCCAGGCAGCCAAAGGAGCACAAGGGCAAAAGGCCCAACCGCAGCAAAGACCAGCCCTGCACACAGGGAGGTCGCCCAGCGCCAATACAGCCGCGGCACCCTCAAAGTGCCCTGGCCTGGAAAAGCCCTTTGCCCAGAGGGCCCCTCGCGTCCCTCTTCGGCTCCTGCCGCTCGCTCTTGCCTCGCCGTTCTGCTCTTGAAGACGCTGTCGCTCTTGCCTCGTCGTCCCACGGCTTCTGCCAATGCACGGCGACACACTCAGGCCTGAGAAGCTCCAGGCCCTGTGCCCGCAGGGAACCGCCACCCAACAGCCCCACAGGGACATCCCCAACCAGCCACCCGCAGATCCTTTCGGCCGCCCAAAACCCTCACACATCAGCTCCAAGATGCTGCTCTTACCTTGCTGCTCCGCTCCTGGGCTCAAAGCCGCCGCTCCTGCAGCTCGCTCTTGCCTCGCCGTTCCACTCTTGAGCACGAAGACGCCGCCCTCCTGCGGCTCGCTCTTGCCTCGCCGTTCCACTCTTGAGCACGAAGACGCCGCTCCTGCGGCTCGTTCTTGCCTCGCCGTTCCACTCTTGAGCACGAAGACGCCGCTCCTGCGGCTCGTTCTTGCCTCGCCGTTCCACTCTTGAGCACGAAGACGCCGCTCCTGCGGCTCGCTCTTGCCTCGCTGTCCCACGGCTTCTACAAACATCGACGAGGACACAGTCAGGCCTGAGGAGCTCCAGCTGCCCAAGGGAACCGCCACCCAACAGCCCCACAGCCAGATCCTCGTGCCACCACCCACGCAGCCCCCCAGCCGCCCAAAAGCCTCCAACTTCAGCTGGACTCACCGTCGCGACGTCCGGCGCAGTCCCCCGCCGTGCTGGGAGCCGGGCCCTCTGGGCAAATGAAGCTGGGCACGCGAGGCAGCGGCCAAGAGGCTGCACCCCTGCTTACAGAGGGCTCAAGCCGCTGCCTGGACTAAAAAGTGCCCGGGACTCCAGAGCACTGGCCCCCACTTACAGGGCCGCTCTGGTCCCCAAGGCCTATGGAGGCTCCTTCTCTCTCCAGCTGCGGGGCGCTCCCCACTAACGGGGAGGGCGCCCCAC